GAAGTTCTGCCTTCGACCTCTGACTCTTCCGCCAACTTGTCTCTTAGTTTGTATGACATTAAACATAAATCGCCCGCCAAGTCAAGATCTTCTAGAGCTTTCTTATTGACATTGGGTGTAGACTCGATGGACAACGATTCCATAATCAACCACTCTCTCCACCTACCTAGATTACTTCTAAGAATTTTAACCCTATCCCACCCTATTGTGTGGTTGTGTGTTAACGCGTGAATCCAGTGCAATTGCTGAGCTTTTTTCTAAATTACTTATCTTTTCAGGGTCAACCATTCTTACCTTAGCTAAATTCTTACGTTCTGACAATGTGACTATCACCGACCTATCAGTTTGACCTTTGTAGCTGATTTAACTCACAGTCATTGCAAGGTATTTTGTAAATTATATTATTTTGTTTAATTGGGTCCAGCGGGTCTTTTAGCCTACAGAGCTTGTCTCTGAGTGAGTTTGTAGGTTTGAATGCCACCCTAATTCCTGCTTTATTGAGCATCCTACTTAGGGCCTCAGATGTCCCCTCCTTATTTATGTTATCATTAATAGTTTCACAATTATTTTTATTTTGTTTTCGGCCTTTACTGATCTTCTTAATGAATTTTATAGGATAGTTATTCAACACCAACGCTACTTCTACCTGTTTTATTTCATCATTTAGTTCTTTTCTTGTGCTACTGCTCAGTTTGTTAGACACTTAACTAAGCCTGCCTTAAAAGCTAACGGATGAGATGAATTAAAGTCTAAGTATCTATTAGAATGAGTTAGTTTTCTGTACACACTAGTGTGTAGTTTACCTTCTTCTATTCGTTTTATTCTACAACCTAACACAGCTAATTCTCCTTATTCAATTTCCGATTCAAATGTGAATTTTATTCCTTCCACAAGTGAGTTTATATGTGACAAGAAGCTAGAGATATGTTCTGTTTTTAACACTGTGTGAAAGTGTAATCCACATATCTCCACCATATTTTTCGCGTAGGATTAAATGTATTAAGAGCAAACTTTTCCCAGCTGTTCATAAATATAGCTGCTACGATAGGAGATATAGGTTATCCATCCTATTGCTACACCTTCTGTTTGTCTATATATTTTACCTTGGAATTTAAAGATAGTAGATGTGAGGCATAACTGAATTCCTAAAATAATTTCTCGAATGGGCAGCTTTGTCCAATGAGTGAGTTCAGGATCCGCAGTTAGTTCATTTTTAACTGCTTCTAAGGCCATATTGATTGGTGTATTAGTATAAGGACTAGTTATATATCAAAACTAACCGAAAGCTGCTACCTTGACGTGGTGGTCGGGCTTGAACACCGCAGTGACCTAATCAAGCTATACTGGCTGAGACTTATGTCTCTTGAGGTTCTACCATGCCAGGCAGGTTGTTTGGATAGCGGTTAAACAAAAAGCAGCTACCCAATCCAACATCATGTCCAATACAAAATTACAAAATTTCATGCCGGATCGGCCGTGGCCCGGATTAACGACGACCGCGCTTCCTGCTGCCGTGTCACAGGGCGGGAGTGATAAATCTGCTACTGAGACACACCAAACAAAAAGAACAAACAAAAACAGGCCGCGTGTGACCGGCCTCAAGCAGTTGTCCCCTGGGCTCTGCGGTCACGCAACCAACTTCCACGGTGTGGGCAGCCGGGAAGTAACAATCGCCCTCACAATCCGAAATGCACACGAATTTTTTCATCATTCTCTAGTTGAATATCGTTTAGTTTATTTTCCATCTCAAATGAATTAGCTAGTCTAGAGTTTGATCGATTTCTAATGGGGTATAACAATAGAGCTTAGTGCCTTGATAATTCATAGGTAGAGGTATTCGTCGTATGAAGTAATCTGGCTTATGTATTTTAATAGTAACATACATTCCTACTAGCATTATTAATAATGCTAGTCTTCTTATTGGTCAGTGGAGCGTATTCCCGCCTTCTCGCTTCTAAACACGGTCGTCAGCATAATCCAGTCAACCAAAATACCAGCGATACCATTGGTGATAATAGGCAGGTAGTCTTGTCTTACTCGTTGTAGGAATAGGGAACATTTATTTTGCTGTTTACACCTATCGTCTTTAAGTTAAACATTCTGAAGTGTAACAACTACTGATAACTTATTATAATGAAGGTTGTTTTGTATTTCCCAATGAATGAAAAACAAACCGATATTGTTTTTACTGACGTTTCGCTATTTAATGCTGCTGCTAATAGCTTTATCAAAGCAGTATTAAACCGGAATTTACAAAATCTCAGCATATATATAGCAAAGGGTTTAGAGGTGAGAAAACAGACTTAGGTTAAGTTAAAAGGACATATTGAAAGTCAAAATAACAATGAAGATCACTAAACCAAATAACAAAGGCAATAGTACGTCTGTTATGATATCAAAATAAAGTTTACTAACTCGATCATCGTTCGTCTGTCTGGGGTCATTTTTCGTTGTCAAGTTGATCAATTGATAACGATAACAAAACCAAGTGTAGATTGTTGGATTTGATCAGTGTGTAAAATTATAAAAGTAGTGTGTGTTTACATAATGAACTTGCATATCACATTCGTGTTGATTTTGTCACTTCATGGGGAAGGGAGGTGTTGTAATCCAAGCAACTTCATCAACAAAATCAACACAGACATTAAGTATGGCCAAAAACGCATTCCGAAAACATGGACCTCAACAGCCGTCATTCTATATAGAGCAGAGACGTCAGATAATATCAGAAGAGTACTCAATCAGGTCGGCATTAGAGTTTTCTTTAAAACATCGAACACACTTCAAAGCAACCTTGTCCATATAAAAGACCAAATCCCTAAAGATTCTCTAATTGTGTCTATAAAATAAAACGTTTGCTTGGAATGTGATACGATGTACATCGGACAAACTTCATCAGATAGGAATCAAAATCAGATGTAATGAACACCTTAGAGCATCTGTATGACCACCGAGAAATCCAGTTGAACTAGAAAAGCTTGAAAAATCATCAGCCATAGGTCGTCTACACGCTACGCAATAGAATCAGGCCACAAAATTGATTTTGATAATATTGAAATATTAATCCAGAAAAACTTCGGAAATCACAAAGAACGTCTAATATCATCAGAAGCACTTCATATCAAGTGGAATCCAAATTGTCTGAATAGGAATGATGGACTAAAACAGAATTTGACCTGGTTACAACACCCCACCACCAACTCTTGAAGTGACAAACTCAACACGAATGTGATAAGCAATTTCGTTATGTAAACACGCGCTGTTTTTATAATTTCACACACTTATCAAATCCAACAATCTACACCTGGTTTTTTTATCTTTACCAACTGGCCAATTTGATAACGTAAAGATGACCTCATGCTGAGGAACGATGATTAAGTTGTTATCTATAAGCTGAGATTTTGTAAATTCTCGTTTAATATTAATACTTTGATAAAGCTATTAGCAGCAGCATTACAAAGCGAAACGTCAGTAAAAACAACAATATCGTTGTTTTTCATTCATTGGGGAATACAAAACAATCTTTATTATAATGAACACCATATACCCAATGCCCAAATTTTTTCAAACTGTTAAAAGTGAACTTCGTTTGAACATGTATAACCACACAATTTCGAAACTTTCGTTTTATAGTTTCCATTATTCTTTCCTATTCGCCGTCGTAGGCGTAGTAGAATTTTCAAGATGTCTGGGTGAAAATGGGTTGAATGATACCTATTACACGTGTTCGCAGTTGATTCGATAAACAAAGCTTCTGCTACCAATCTCTTCCTCCACCCTGTTATATTAGATTTAAGAACTCTCATCTTATCCCATGCTATTGTATGATGGTGTGTAATTGCTTTTATTGAGTGATATAGCTGAACTATTCTCCAGGTGCCTTATCTTATTCGGGTCAACTAATCTAGATTTCGCTAGGTTTTTATTCGCCTTTGGTCTGAAGGTTGGTGTGGGGACAGTCAGACAGGGAGAGAGTGATAACGGAAGCTTTATTTATCGAATCACGTGTAATAGCAACTATTCAACATATTTTCATCCAGATATCTGGAGAATTCTACCACCCCTACGACAAACAGGAAAGACTAAAGAAAACTATAAAACAAAAGTTTGGAAGTTGTGCGGTTATAACTGATATGATTATGAATAATAATAAATTATGTTCGCAGCTTTGTCATCCACCAGTAAATGATGCTGTTTCACAGTGTGGTATATCTAATAAACAAATTAATATGGAAACTTGATACGTGTTTGAGAAGTATTGCCGATGAGACCGCATCCCTTGGCAGTCTGTCACCTGAGACTATCTAGGTTTTACAGTTCAGTAGCTTTTTAAGTCATTCGCACGTAAGTTCTTCCACCTTCACGTACGTTCAAAGCAAGATTACTCCTTCCTCTGTGTATGCGTTTCCACACACACACACACACACACACACACACACACATCACACACACAAGTAAATTGATACACAGTGTGGGCAACGGTAAGGTTCCTAGCATCATATTGTTTGCCTTTTTCGATAATTAAAGGCAGAGCTGAATAGAAAGCTCCACGGATGACAGAACTAAATCAGTCTTAGAATCCTACTTTTTATTTCCACATTGCAAGTCAAATAGTCATTTTTCTTTGCAATGATAAACACTGTAGGCTTTGGAACGAACTGACCTCTATGCAGGTTAAAAAACAACTCTAAAGGATATCCGTAAGTATTTGTTCTCACTGCTTAGAGCATCCCCTGTGTAAACACGCTGAACCCTCTTGAATAAGCAATTAACCAATTCCGTCTTAAATTGTAAAGGGCATAAACTGTGAAACTAAAATATTGCCCTGTTCAATTAGGCATCCTTTCTACGATTCAGAAGTATGTCTAGGAATGTCAGTTGATTTCAACTATTGTTCTTCACCTGTAAAACTCCTCCACGAAGTCAAGAGTCTTCTTATCGGTCAGTGGAGCGTATTCCCGCCTTCTCGCTTCCAAACACGGTCGTCAGCATAATCCAGTCTACCAAAATACCAGCGATACCATTGGTGACAACAGGCATTCTTGTCCTACTCCTTGTAGAAATAGGGAATATATTTTGTTGCTTGCACCTATTGTCTTTGAATCAAAAATTCTAAAGTGCAACAACCACTGATAATTTAGTTTAACAACAAGAAGTCGGTACTTACTACTAACTCGTAATAAGTAGAACAATAGTTAATGGATGATTTTACATCGATGCGAACTTTCTCCTTATGGATGGATTGATTGTCAGCAACAACCAAAGAAAGACAAAAGTGTGTGTGTGTGCGAATCAATACTGTGTGTATTTTCTACAAGGCAAGTTTAATCAAAACATTCTTTTCATTCTTTCTGGTAAAATAAATTTAAGGAAAGAATTTTCGCTTTTTCAGTGCATAATCCCATGGTACTCCAGTTCTTTTATGATATGGTTCGTAGATATCATTCGGATAATATTTCGGTTTACGCCATTGTTCATTAAGCATATTATCCAGCAGGAAGGATGTTGCACGATTAGTCAACACATGTTCAGAGCGTCGAGCTCTTTCAGCGTCACTTCGCCTACAGAAATACAAAATGAATTTATGTATATAGAGAGAGAATGATATAAGGTACGTCAGAAAACATGTTGCACGCACACTCACTAAATCTAATGAATAGTGAGAGAAACATATGATAGGAAACCAGTAGAGAGGTACATTGAATACTGACCATATAGAAGAAGTCCGTATGACAGTTCGACAATGTAATTTACCACACCATGTTTGGCATGCGGTTCGCCCCAGTAAAATGTAAGATGCTGCTACAGGACTGTACTACGTCAACTCCTAGCTTAGTGATAGGGTGTCAAGTGATAGTGTAACAACAGAAGACAACGGCCAGGCAACAGATCGTTTTATTACGGAAATCAACACGTATTTATATAAATTTCACATACATTATTATAGCCTAGTCAAGTAGACAAACGCAGTCCTCTGATTGGTTGTTTTCGAGTTCCTCGGAAAGTGGAGCCATCTCTCTGCCCACGTTTAAGTTTACTGTGATTGGTTGTTGAAACAGCCTTGTTCATATTTTCTCGCGCCCCATATTAGTGACCTAGACATTGACGTAGATTAATGTCAACCAATTGGCTAGCGGGCTGCTCTCACCACAATAGAACATGTTGACCACCACTTCACCTATTTGGGAAGTTGTATCAACACCAACGGACTGATTGGCGACGAAATCTCAGCACGAATCCAAAAAGCTCGAGCTGCTTTCGCTGACTTACACCATCTCTGGCGTAGGCGTGACATTCGGCTATCAACTAAGGGACGTGTGTACTGCTCAGAAGTTCGCTCCGTCCTTCTCTATAGCTCTGAAACATGGCCAATACCAGTTGAAGACATGAAAAGGTTGACTGCTTTCCATCATAGATGTCTACGATCTCTTTCTCACGTTAGGTGGTATAATAAGGTAAGTAATGTTGACGTTAGGCGTAAAGTGTTGGGCAAACAGGGAAAATCAATCGACGAGGCTATTAAGTTACATAGATTGAGATGACTAGGTCACGTGCTGCGCATGCCTAACCATCGCCTCCCCCGACGATGGGCATTACTAGCTGATATAGGTGCATGTAGGAAAAGAGTAAGTGGTGGCCAAACAAAAACATGCCATCAATCCATGAAATCCTTGACAGTTAAACTGAGCCAGGTAGGGAGATGCAGACTTCTAGGTTGGGGCCCTCGGGACTCTAGGAATCAATGGCTGAAGACAAGAGGGGACATGGCTCAAAATCGTTGTCAATGGCCAGCGTAGATGTATTCAGTCTCTGTAATCTTTCATATTCCTTTCTACCATTACCCATTCTGTTTCACTCTTATACTTGTCAAACTCTATTGATTCTCTTCACTCATCTTCTTGTCTACCTTTGTGTGCTATTTGGAACGAGGCAACTCGAACTGCTACACTTCGGTGCCAAGTTCTATATTGAATCCAGTCAGAGACAGACACCAAAACTCCCAAATTATGAAATGAACAAAACACTGAAAATAGACATTTGATCATAGGGAAAAAGGCAGTTGCAGCGAAGAAAATTTTCTTTTCGACGAATTCATCGTCAACTAGATAGCTGCACATTCGTGTATTTATAATAAATGGGTAGGAAAGTTCCAGAATAATTACTGGTCAAGGGTCAGATTAACAGAAATACAATTACGAATTAAAATGCCATAATAAACAAGGGGACGAATAAAGCTCAGACAAAGTAGCATCATAATTTCTGAGAAGATTGATATATTGTGCAATTGGGGGTAGAAATGTAGAAATAACAACAATAGACAGGATGTTTGGATAAGAAAGGCAGTGGGATAGTCACTGTTAGAAGAACAAGCAATTCTTCCAATAGTGACTATCTCATTGCCTTCCTTACTCAAATTTCCTGTCTATTCGTGTTATTGTTTTTCTTAATCCCTATTTACACTACCATAATTTCATATCCCGAACTTCCTGTCTATTTTGTCATTTCTACATATTTAATCCCTAACTGCATAAACAATTATTCGTCACATTAGTTATGATCCCACTAGATTTTTTATCCAAACATCCTGTCTATTGTTGTTATTTCTACATTTCCAACCCTTAATTGCACAATATGTCAATCTTCTCAATGATATGTTTGAGCTTTATCCGTCCCCCAACTGTTTATTATGGCATTTTAATTCCTAACCGTAATTTTATTAATTTGACCCTTAAGTGGAAATTATTCTGGAACTTTCCTACCCATTTATTATGAATACACGAATGTGCAGCTATTTAGTTGATGATTTCGTCGAAAAGAAAATTTTCTTCACTGCAACTGTCTTCTTAACAACTCTTATAACCCAAAGTGTATATTCCGTGAATGGTTTATGCTTCTGATGACGATGACTTCGTCGAAAAGAAAATTTTCTTCGCTGCAATTGTCTTTTTATTATTCCCTAGAATGAACAAAAGTAGTTCTTGGATGGCTAAACAATCCTGACCACTATTCATTTTCAGTGGTTAAGTAGAATATGGTATCGACTAAGTAAGGTAAACTACAGTCGTAAATATTATTCTTATATTTTGAAACGTTTACAGTATTTTCGAGGACTACAAGTTAACAAACTTTTCAACTCCCAATGTAATAATCACAAGGCGATAATACTTGGCCTGATATGGTGTCTAGGTTCAATAATCACGTGCAGATGAAGTGGTGCTCAAGGAGAAACAAACCCAGTAAAACCAGGTAGCCTTTACACCACGAATAGGGAGTGTATTGATCATATCTTCACATTACGACGGTTTCTGAAACATACTTACTGTACTGCCCAACAGTTCGCTTTGTTCCTCTTCATGGCTTTCAGTGAAATATGGCCATTGAAAGTGGAAGACACGAAAAGCACTGCTAGCTGTCTTTGACCATAAGTGCCTGTCTGCGTTTCTGTCTCCCGTGTTAAGTGGTATAATAGGGTGAGCAACATTGAGGTTAGACGTTGAGTGGTAGGTAAGGAGGCAAAATTTATCGATGAGGTTGCGAAGTTACACCGATTGAGATGGTTAGGACATGTGTTACGCATACATGCCTAGACATCGCCTTCCTCAACCAACAGGTAATGTTAACCGACATAGGATCGATCAGGTGGGAAGAGTTAGCTAGTGGTGATCGAACCAAAATATGATTTTATCAGTCAATGAAATCCCCAACAGTTAGTTTAAGCCAGCCACCCAGCCACGTAATGAGGTATAAACTTATTGGTTGGAGTCCTCGAGACAGTAAAAACCAATGAAGGCTGAAGACAACTGGTGTTATGGCTCAATACCTTTTTCAATGGCTGGCGCAGATGCATTCACTCTTTGTGATTTATCATATTCAATAAAACTTTATTGTTCCTCTACATTACTATTCTTTTTGCATCACACTTCTGTTTATTATCTCTCTTTTGAGACTCTCTTGTCTTGGTTTGTGTGCTACATGGAGGGAGTGTGTCGACTCAAACTGCTGCACATCTGTGCAAAGCTCTACGTTGAAAGCAGTCAGTCATACTTACCGGTGTCCAACAACTGAGACATTTCTTGACCTGAAAGAGACATCCAACTATATCGATCGAGAGTTGCTGTTGCAATGCCTGTGTGTGAACAAAGTACCAAGACAGCATATCACAATAATCAAAACACTCCACTCTAACTCATGCAACCGTGTAAAGGCTTATGAAGAATTGTCTTCTAAAGTGATGACAAACAGTGCAGTCCATCAGGCATGCTTATTTCCTCCATTTTTGTCTGATTTCATCATAGATGTGCCAAAGGAATAAACCTTAACTGAATTCAGAGACTCAGAGATTGACTTGTTACCAGGGAATAACCTCGTTGTCTTAGAATATGCGAATGATACAGTCCTCCTAAGTGAAGACACTGACAAATGCGGTTTACTGAACATTTTTAGTGGAAACCTTCGAATCTTTGGCATGCCATTCGCATAAAGAATGAAGTGGTACAGCGTATTAACCACTTCACTTATTCATGAAGTTGCATCTGCCCCAATGGACTAACTGGTGAAAAATCCTCAGTACGGATACAAAAGGCTCGTGTGTAGCATTCACTAACTTACGCCATCTGTGGCGTAGACGTGTTATCCGGAGGACTATCGACCAAAAGACATGAGTACTGCGCAGAATTTCACTTAGTTTTCCTTTATGACTGTGAGACATAGCCAATAAAAGTGGAAGATATGATTTTTATCGGTGGCGACTGGAACTGCCGCATTTCTGTGGAAAGCTCTATTTTGAAAACAGTCAGTCAGTCAGTTTCCAGTTTTCAATGGACCATAAGTAAGAACTACCACACAGTTTCATGCTCTGGAGAAACAGCTGTTAAGCGTCTTTTGGTTTACATGAATACAAATCCCACGAAACTAACTAATACTACGATTATTAGGTTTTCCATAAGACAACATAATATTCTGCCAGTAAGTTGTAACCTAGTGTCTTACATTCCTAAAAACATTTATCAGTTTCTGATACACTAAGAGTTTATACACATTAAAAAAAGAGACTCACCTATACAAATGTTTATCACGACCAGCTCGTGCATGAATAAACGCACCCCAACGTAAGCGTTTAAATCTATCAATGACATCTTGATTCGGAGGATTATAATCACCAGTTTCTGAGTAGTATTTCTTCACCTCTTCACTTCTTCGATATCGACGAGGTGTTTGGAAAAGACACTGATGATCACTAAAATGGGAAATCAAAATTGGTTGAGTAATAAAACTGTAACGAACAAATACATATATGTAAGTTTCATACACTTGGCTCGTACTACTAAAAATTTCAAAACCCTTTACGCTTTTTTTGGAAGATTGAAATTACAATAATATTTAATTAAAAACCCTTTTTTTTCTTCTTTTTTTTTTTTTTGGTGCTTTTTTTTTTAAATTTTTCTTTTTTTTTTATTTGGTTTATTATTTTTATTACAATTTTTTTTTTTAAAATTTTTTTCCTTGGCACAATTTTTTTCTAGTGCTCAACAACTTTTTTTATATTAAATATTAGTATTTTTAATTTTTTTTTTTGTTTTTTGGTAATTAATGAATAATTTTGAATGTGAAAATCTTCTGTTTATAGTATGTTTTTTGATAAAAAATATTATTATTATTATTATTATTATTATTATTATTATTATTATTATTATTATTATTTTGATAAAGAAATAAAGACTATGAAGAAAATGAAAGACGACTCAGAGAAAAAAATTTTCTTCACCAAGGAAATCATCTTCAGAGGCTGTAAAGTCGTATTTAAATTTACCAAAAGTGTATAGTGGTCTATTACTGAGTAATGGGGTGGGGGTGACATAACTGATACAACTACTCAGAAGTAGCTTTTGAAGTAAAACAAAAGAGCGCACACCATCCAAATGCATCTCTGAACATTATCCAGCATGGTTAGCAAAAGGACAATGCAAGACAATTACTAGCTCAGTTCTCGAGCACTTGGTGAACTCAAGCCACACAGCTTCCCACCACAGTTGTCTTTCAAAATTATCTACACGATGAAGCCAAATGATACAAAGCGCGTGAGGTTTCGGCATTTGTGTATGGCTGAGGCGTTGGCAATTTGTCAATACAACGTCGAACTCTGTATACAGAAACAGTTTGTCCAGTCTCTTATTCTACCATGGTTGTCACCTGTAAATTTTATTTTGTTTATTTTTTTAATTTTCAATTTTACTTTTAGTTTGCTTTGACTTTAATAATTAGTTCATTATTATCACTTTCATATGTTCCTGTTGTACATTTTCACACCCTCCTCACACTTGTAAAATTGACACTCAACTACCACCTTTATTCTCACTTGATAACAATTTTAACCTTATCAGATTTCTAACGCTTTCTTTCTTTCTTTGTGTCATTGGGTATTAAGTAGTTTACAGCTTTTCTTCTTACTTGTAAAGCCACTTTTGAGTAATTAAATCAATTATGTCACCCCTTATTACTAAATAATAGACTACTATAAATTTTTGGTAAATATAAATACGACTGTACACAGATAGCCTCGGAAGATGATTTCGTCGATAAAGAAAATTTTCATCGCTGAAACTGTCTTTTTTTATTTTCTTCATGACTCAATGGGTATTTTCGGCAAAAGAAAGACCATATTTCCAGTATAAAATGATATCGGTATTCTATTTCACAGGTTCTCATCGGCTGGACAAGTATCCCGCTGATTTCACCTCCAAATACGTTGATGAGTATGCATACACTTGTTGGAGCAAGTACATTGGAAGGACTGAAAGAAGAGCTTCCATCCAGTGATTTCCGAGCATATCCCAGGAAACGTATGCCTAAAAGGAGGCAAATATTCGCAAAGAGCAGTTACCAGACACCTTGTAGTGGATACAGGTCATTTCGTCAAGATTTTCAAATCCTTCAAAATATTAGATGCATATAAAGAACAACAAATTTACTATGATTTCCTCAAGCGACTGCAGTCAGACGTTTTATAGCAAAATAATCCACCCAGAAAGAGATTGTAATCAATCTCTCACTCCCTCGATAATTGCGTCAATTTTGATTACACTGATTAGTCATCCATATTAGTGATTTTAACTTACTGAGCAAGTTTTCAGTTTTATGAACTATAACCTTCTTGATTTGCTATATGAACTTACAAGCTGACAATGTTCACCAGATTTCTCTGTTTTCTACCCCACCCCACCGCCTCTTTTACCCCACCTTTTATATTCTGAAAGTGTATCACTTGATGGTAACTTAAACTACGAAATTGTGATGCTTATATATTTCGGTTGCATTAATTTTACAGCGTTTTCTCCACTATTTTATTTATTTATTTTAATTTTGATTACAGCTTGATTCCACACTGTATTTTTGGTACAAGTATGGAATTTTCAGCATGGATATCGGTAGCCCGAATTTTGCAGGTCGACCATAGATATCAGGTGTTCGTCGGAAGGGGATCGAACCTCGGACCATGTGCATGGTCGACGAGAGTCCTAACCACTGCGCCACCGACGCACACTACCACTAAGACATCGAAGTATATCATTGTCACTTTCTATAACCAATTGAATTTTAGGTAGTTTACAGCAGCAGCAGCTGATGAGGAGAACCTGTGGAATAGGGTGCATTTAGTCTTTAATTCTATACCGAAATATGCAAGTGTTTCTGTATGAAGTTACAATTCTTGTTGTATGAACAACAAGTGTGGAACTGCTCTTACTTCAGGAATATTTAAGCTGATATACCTCCAGGAGGTCGTGTATAAAGAGAAACATAGAAGTAAGACTAAATACCTCGGAGAAGGAAATAGTAGAGTTGATAGGGGTAATTAAGTTCTAGATAAAGGCAAAATATGAATATATTTCCACAGAAACGATCCGTTATGATGAGCCACATTCTCTAACAACAATCGACTTCGGTTGCTTTATATTTTTTGTTTTAAAAATCAACCGAGGCGACATAAGTTCTTGTAAGCTGTGTGATAGAAAAAGAAGGAACTTCCTTTATGACTTGTAGTCTGAACTAGCTACTTAATGGCTCCCGTCGTAACCCTGAGTTCGAACCCCGACGGGTGCAAATTATTGAAAAGCCCTAAACTAGGAGGACGTAATAGGTGTCCAGTAGTCGCTGATTTTGAGCATTAGTGGGTCATTGATAGAATACTCCCCAACCACATTGCACGATGCGTAAGGTCCAATTCTCGAACGACGCCGCACTCTTAGACCTCAATAAGCCAGTAGTAAGAGTGGAAAAGAGGAAAGGTTGGTTGGTAGTGGGGCTAGCAACTTTGCCTCATATCAGTCATAAAATTACATAACTATTTAACTGGAAACTCTGCATCTTAAATAGCCTTGTGAGCACTATAACTGATTTTCAAGTTTGTATTGATTTTCGCATCGACTTACTCGTCATTGAACTTGCAATGCTAACGAATATGAATAACCTACAGTGTCCTTATACAATGCATCATTCTAAAATATCAACTATAGTTTCCTGCGTAAGTGCTAAAAAAGCAGAACTAGAAATGTGACTAGAACTTCAATATTCAGAGCTTTACAATGTATACTGTTATTATTATTGGAGGAAACACCTTTAACTGGGAGACCTTAAGATATGCATATAAACAAAACTGACGGTATTTCATCACTGAGTATGCACCAATCAATTAAAAATCACAAGAATAATAAATCAGATTGTACAACTGCATTCAGTTTTTACACAACTTTACGATAATTAACATTTATTTCTCAGCTGCAAAATTTACTACTTACAAGTAGTACTTTAGAAAAATACTAAATTTTATCAAAGACGTTAGACACAGAAATTTGAATTTTTAAGCGTTTATCTTTCCAATGACAGCATAAAACGTCACAATGGAATGTATGTACATATGAAAAACATGAAACAACACATAACTAACAAAAATTGAGTCAAATATTCGGTATGCAGGAGTTAGTTTGTAAGGATTTGATTTGTTTTAGGTTTGATCACGTAGAGATATTAGTTTGAGAACTACTGAAAACCACAGACTACTAGACAGTTATTTCGTCGTTGTCTGGAACTCTTCAGAAGTAACCAAACACCGAAATTCAAAACCAGGACTAATCGGTTACCAGTCAAGAATGTAGACCATTCAGTTACTGGGACTCAATCCATTGGCCATTTCTTGAATTCCAGCTTCTACAAGTTAGTGAATTTTACAGTGATCACCAGCCAGTCGTCACTGGCTGGCCCCAGACGACCGACCTAGTGAACTTAATGGTCACGACTTCCCACTAAAAAGAACTCGAGGAAAATTCATTCTGCAGCCAGTCACTAGTGAGTATCAGATTAATTTTCAAGAGTTAGTTTGTTGGGATGGATTTGAGACGGGTCCTGGTAGCTGAATAGTCTACAGGCTTGACTTCGTTTGAAACTAGGGTGGTTGTGTACTACTGAAGAGCCTCAAAACAGGACGAAACAGATGTCCACTACTCTCCGGTTCTCAGAGGTTCTCTAAATGACATCGATCCATGGTCACCTGGAGCTATTGGGATTTTGCTATGAGAACATCTTTAGCTTATTCTTTCAAACAAAACCACACGGATAGTGCTCATCTTACATCAAATAGCACAGCTCATAGCGCAAGTGAACGTTATACATGAATAAGTCCACCAATAGTTTAACTTTAAACCGCCAAAATGTATGGAACTTTTACGATTCTCAGTTATGCTTTTAAACGAAATACACGCAGAAAAACAATATGAAGACACTATGTAGACTAATAAAAAAAGCACTACTCACCTTTTGGTTTGAAGAATATTAGTATTGACAAAATGACTCATCATTACCGGTAATGAAGTTGAAAAAGATTGAACTGAAGGTCTTAATGACATATATGAATGTTTAAAAAGCGATGATAGCGAAGACATCATAACCGCCATATCTATAATTCCAAAAAAGAGAGGATATGATAGTTATGAAGTAGGTGGTATAGTTACCAAAACTTAAGCAAAAGGGAAAGACCAGATTAGATTATCCAATGCGTACAAAATTCTGCAAATACCTTTTATGAGCAATGAAGATCAAAAATGCACACGCAGACACACACACACATATCAGTTCACAAAATGTGAAAATCCCAGCTGGGTTTTTGTTTTGGAACTAATCAGTCGCATAATTCATCAGCTTCAATTGTACACTGCAACCATCTCGCCCTATTTCAGTTATATTAACAACAACAACAACCACACGTTTTTGTGCCTCGGCGTTCAGTGGTAAAACACTGGCCAATCAAGCAAGTGTTCCAGAGTTCGATTCCCGGCCGGTACATTCCTAAACCTCGCTTGGCCGGTAGAGTACACCCCGTAAAGAGAGGAAGTTGGCCGTGAGACTAGCAACCTCACCTTGTAAAAGAAAACCACTGCTACTGTAACTTCAAGCCTCTAGCTTGAAGCCGTATGTTCCACCACTGGGAACGCGAATGAATAGAGACAAAAACACGTTTTTGTGATTGATTGATAGATAGATGAAGTCAATATATATCAACAAAACACGAATCACATGAATAATTTCTGTATAATTGAACAATTCAAGTCAGCAAATCTAATAAAACTAACTTAATGTCTACAACAAAGAAAATAATAACTGTTTGATCTTCCTTCATTTTATCTCAACATACAACAGTGAATTGACTTTTCAACAATACTGATAAGTCAATTACCTCATCTAACAAGATGAATTGCTTTATTCTTTTATCAATGAACATCTTTAAAAAAAAATGGTTAATCAGTGGGCGGGACCGACTGATACATCGCCTAAAGACAACAGGAATATAATCAAACAACACAACTGTTCTATGATTCCATTCTCCATTGTTACGTAAAAAGCACTATACGATAAGCGAATATAATATTATTATTATTATGAATTAAGAGCACAGCTTATCACTATTCTACATCAGTATGATCGTGTCACTTTCATTACACGTCAAAATCAATCATCATCAACAGCGACTAAATAACCTTGAAACACTCCAGTTTCATGTGATAAGTTAGAGAACAAGATAATACCCTCGAAAGAAATTTTACTGAAAAAGTATACTGTCTTACAATATAAAGTTGAAGAAGAATAAAAGCATTAGATAGTAGAATCGCATTAAACTAATCGAAGGATAATGCGTTAAGGCATTATTCATGTTTCCAACTACAAGAAGTGGTGTATGAACAGGATATAGATGGTAAGTGCATAAGCACACCTCAAGGTTTCCCTTTCGTTTATACTACATCCATCCATTCACACACACACATATGATTCACTCAGGAACACGAAGATTCAAAACAACACCTCCACTTTGTCCGATTCTCTGCAGTTTTCTTTAGTTGGCCCCACAATTACTCATAAGCTCTCACATCTCCGTCGAAAACGATCTTCATGTCACCTTCACAGACATACCCAACTTGCCGTTACTCATTCCGGTTCCACTAGAGCTATGGCCTGGCTCAAAGTCTCACCCATTTCTCATCCATCTCCATTTTGTTCAGCATATTTGTTGAACAATATGTCCTTGATTCGTTCGTTCCCAGAGTTTCTTATCGCTAATTCTTTATGACCGGCCATTTTATCTTCATTATACAGCCAGCCAGCCAGCCAGCCAAGGTAGCTGTTGATTTAAGTCTACAGTAGTCGGTTAGAAATGCTTTTCGTGACGCGTTGGCCAAATTTCTGACCTATATAGAAGAACTGATTGACAGCTTGTAACAGCAGAAGGTGAGACACGGAAGCAAAGATAAATTTCATTAGTCATACCGTCGTTTATAATAACTACAGTTTTATATTCATTAACCAATCAATCAATCAATCGCTGAGCGTGTGATTTTGATTCACATTAAACGACGTGAAATGGAATGTTCAAATACATACATATATGTATTATTCTGTTGCCAATGCCATATTGAACTATGGAAATATGTCAGAATGATATTTCGTTGGAACACCGTATGTCTGTATCACACCGCCACAGACTGATTTAACACTGATGTTGAAAATACGAATCTTGTTGTTTATGCTGACTGAATGCAGTACCGAAAATTCCCAAACTGATTTCACAATGGTGAAGGTGGTGTGCCTTGCCTTTTCGATTCTGGCTGATTTTAACATCCTTATCTCTGTTGTCGTCTGTAGTTGAAACGATGTTTCCTGGTCAGATAAGTGAATGAAGTGACTTCTTTCAAATTTATTCCGTTGATAGTGATTGGTGCTTGTTGTTGTTGTTGTTGTTGTTGCTGTTGGTTGGCTGGCTGGGGCTGGTTATCTTCATTACCTTCGTCCTCACTTTATTAATTTGAAGTCCTATCTTCACTGAGAGTCTCTTCTGCCAACTTGTTGGTTCCAGCCTGTAAGTTATCGCATGTATTATTATTGTTCCCTTGGGTTCCTAGTGGAACACAGGGCTTCAACTGCACGTCTCCACTTGCTTCTGTCTTATGTTGTACTAATCACCTGCACCCATGTTAGTCCATACTCTTTCAACTCCTCTCTCTTCACACGATCTCCTCCATGTCACCCACCCTTGCACTGACGTCCCACTCGCCGCGTGCTTCCCTTTCGCCCTGGTTTCACTCGACCAATGGCCTGACGCGCGCGCGATGCCACCCAGCGGCCTCCTCAGCGAGTGTTCGATCCATCTCCACTGTCTCCTGCATATTTGTTGGACGATTGGTTTGTCCTTGTTTTGTTTGTTCTCAGCCATGGTTTCTTGTTGGTGATTCTTTCCGGCCCGGCCATCTGATCTTCAGTATAGAGTGGAGACAGTTAGTTGTTGATAAAGGTCTGCAACAGGCTGTTGGTGGAGATATTCTTTGTGACCGACCCTCCAAGTTTCTGATCCGTATAGAAGAACTGACTTGACGTTTGTATTGAAAATCCGAATTTTGTGGTTGAAAGTTATCGCATGTATATGACATTAAACATAAGTCGTCCGCTAAATCTACATTCTCGCTCCTCACAGTCTTCAGCGTAATCCAGTCCACCAACACCACCACCACCACGGGGAATATCATCGGTTATGGTAGGGGTCAACTTGCCTTACTCTTGTCATCACTTCAAAAAGACTTCGCTGACTTCTCATTATATATATAATGAGAAACAAATTGTATAAAAACAATACAATTCTGTATCGATTAAATACACAAACTGACAACCATTCTTTTCACTGACAAACGAAAAATAAGTAATAATACTCAAAAGACAAGAAAAGACAAACACAGAGAGAAAAAGACTTTTATTTGTAATCAAGTGGGGTCCTTTTCCTTTCCTTATAAAAGTACATTAATAGAAAAAAAATCAATAAATAACTACTACACCCCAAAGTTACTAGAAAAGAAAAACAACAACTGATATCATCAATACGAAAGGTTAATTAATGTCAAATTAACCTCAATACATAATCGAAAATATATAAATAGAATAAAACGAAATAACAAAGATGAGATCAAATTTTTATTATTATTTTTAAAAAAGTATATCACTAATCATTTGTGCAAAATAGAGATCAAAAGGTGTTTTTTCGGAGCGAGAGAAAGAGAGAGAAGTCAGCGAGTGCAAAGATATAATGGTGAGTAGATCAAGAAAAATCAATCACAGAGTAGTAGGGGTATTCATTAAAAAAGAATTCAATGTCACAAAAAAGGCAATTAAAACAACAGCAGTTTTCATTAGTTTCAAATATCAGATTGGATGCCGCCCACAAGGTGATCGCGGGCGACGGGGGGGGGCGCTGTGGCAAACACAATGAATAATTGAGTGCAATACTGCATTCATTCACCCATCCCACACCACATCCCCCGCTTAACACTAGTTCTAACAAAGTGGAAGGTATTCTCCGTTGCGTGATAACGAAACACATAGCCAATTCTCCTGTTTATCAGTATGTTAAACAGTTGCATCATACTACAATCATCGGTACTCAATCCATAACACAGAGAGACAATGGAAGGGAGAGAGAGAGTATATGTATGTACAACAATATTAATAATAAGAATACTAACGATAGGTTCAAAATAAATCAATATAGCAAAAATGTAAAGATTGTCTAGAAGGAACCACAAAAAGATCCAAAAAGAAACCCGATCACACTAAATAAAAATATACAACGATATGTATGTTACAAAGTAGATTGTAATTTAGAAAAAGAAAATTTAAAAAAAAAAAGTTGAAAAAACCACTAAGAAAAATTATTCACAACATTTTTATATATGATATGTGTAGTTAACTGTGTTTATCCGCCCAATTCTATGGATAATGGTACTTCGATGATAGGAGAGAAGAGAAGCACTTAATACTAACAACAGCAGATTGTCATTGTTCTACACGCCCACGCCCACACACAAACTTGATGACTCATTTAGATTCCAGGATAGTTTGGCATCAGCGAGGGATCTAGAGCACGGTACTGATGATGCATATCACGTGCACTATTGTTCAAGTCAATTTGTTTAGCCATTTCAGTTAGTTGATGACGAAATCTATGCAGGATAAATTATACAGAAGAAGAAGAAGAAAAAGAAGATAAACAGTTATCAAAAACAAAAATCTTTGAAAATTCAAATTATGAATGTTATTTTAAACAATAGATAGTAAGAGCTACCTTTTAGTTGGCATATACAGTGGTGTGACGTAAAATGACCCGATGTCTAGGCTCCTTGTTGGAAGATTTCATCATGAGCTGATATCAATTAGAGAACCATTAAAAAACCAACAGGGATTACTAAACAGCTGTTTCGTCCTAGTTTGGGAATCTCCTTCATCAGCACGCACCCACCGCCAGGGTTCGAACCCAGGACCTCCTGGTTACAAGGTTAGAGAACTCGTAGACCATTAAGCCACTGAGACAGAAGTTACAATTCATGTGCTGGCCATTGAATCGGGTCCAAGTGGTTGAATGGTCTACGAGCTCTCTAGCCTTGTAACCAGAAGGTCCTGGATTCGAACATGTCGGTGGATGTGTACTGTCAAAGAGTAGCAAACTAGGACTAAACAGCTGTTCAGTACTCCATGTTGGTTTTCCAATGGTTCTCTAAATGACGTCAGCTCATGATGAAATCCCCCAGCTAATCAAACAAAATCCTTACAAAACCAATAGCTGATAATCTCTTTGTCTCAACCGACTACATAATCATTTTTTGCTTTTACCCCTTTTCATTGGCTT